TGACTGGTAGAGAGTGTATGTCAAAGTTCAGTGATACGACTGCCAGTGCTGCCTTTGGCTATATCAACAAGGCCAGAGTTTCAGGCCAGTGAGTGGTAATGTCAGGATGGGCCAACTTAGTTCCGTGAACATGGGAACACGTATCATTATTAAAGTCCTCTGTTCCTGCAAACAGGATCGTTCATCTCGTCTCTTATTAAAAACAAAAAAAGCAAACCGTTCTCATGGCCACTTTTCAAAATGAAAGGGCCAATAAAATTATTAAAAGCAAATCACATTTGATAAATTATTATCATTACAAGCTTTAAAATAACATTTGTTCTGTTTATCAAGCTCCAGTCTTACTGCATCGGTGAAGAATTCCCTTTAGAGACCAGAAAAACAAAAACATGGAAATGAAGCCCAGTGTTCACACCAAAGACGGATTCTTGATTATTTTTGCATGAGTTCTTTTACAACAGCCCACACTGCCAGTGCTCAAGCCTCCAGAGCACCAACTGTACAAGTTAACAGCAGTTATACTGAGAGAAACCCAGGATGGTGTGGAAGGAGGAGAAAAGGAGATGTTGGCATTGTTAATCTGAATGTGAAGTCTGCTTTTACATTTGCTTAGCAATTGGCTCACTTTTTGTACAAAGATCTCAAGTTGATTTTGTTAATTTAGCCATCCTGGTCTTCTTAAATGTATTGTTTCTTCCTATAATAAAAAATAGTGGTTGTTGTTATTTGAAATGAAAGCAAAGATTATTCATTTTTAACATCACTACTCCCAAAGTTACCTGCCTCCCTTCCAATCTGAGAAATCAGCAACCATAAAGTATACTTATCAATGATTGGTCATAACTAGGGAGGAAGCAATCAGAGGTGTCCCAGATGTGTGGTCTGAGGCATAGCCCAAGTGTCATGATTAGCCAAAAGCAGAATCCAAGAGCTCTGTCACCCCAAGTGAATGCCCTACCCACATTGTACTGATCACCACAGTGCCCCACATCTCTTCCAAACTCTTTGATACTCTCCAAGCCAGGCAAATGAAGGGCACACCTGGGGCCTCCAATGCCTGTTTTGATGGCAGGTACCTGTACTGGTTGTTCATTATTTGTATACCATTCATAGCTATTTAGCACTGCAAAATCAACTACGAAGAATAGAGAGCTAGGTTTTAGCCTCAGGAAATGTTTTTGTCTGTAGGTTTTAAAAAAGTCAGGACATGCTCAACAGAATTGAAGCAAGAAAATTTAGGGACACTGAATTCTTTAAATCTGTATATCCTAGTTACAATTTCATGGGCTATTCTGGGAATATTTGATTAGGATTCATAAGCTTACCACTTTACATGTTGGTATCATACATATGGAGAAAACTCAAATGTTGAGATTTGGGCACCCACTGACAAAGATCCTTGAAACAGCTAAACATGCTGCAAACATCTTATGACATTACATTTTTAATAACTAACATTAAAAATAAGTTGGGAGCTGGGCGTGGTGGCACATGCCTTTAATTCCAGCACTTGGGAGGTAGAGGCAGCAGGATCTCTGTGAGTTTGAGGGCAGCCTGGTCTACATAGTGAGTTCTAGGACAGCTGGGGCTACAGGGAGACCCTGTCTCAAAAAGACCAAAAAAAAAAAAAAATTAAAAAAAATATGTTGGGAAATATAAAAGAATGGAGCTTGGCTTTTCCTATGTTCAGAAGAGCTCCATATCTTTCCAAGAACTGAGAAAAAGTGTACTGGGCTTGCCTGTGGCTCTGTCCATAAATACAGTGTCCATAAACCTACGTAGTATTCCAAAATAAAAAATAAAAATAAAATAAAATAAAAATCTATTTTATTTATTATTTTTATTTTATGTGTATGAGTGTATTGTCTGCATACGTGTAAGTGCACTCATGTCATGCAATGCCCACGGAGGTCAGAAGAGGGCATCAGATGCCCTGGAATTGGACTTATGGACAGTTGCTAGTTGCCATGTGGGTACTAGGAATTGAACTCAGGTTCTTTGCAAGAGCAGTCAGTGCTCTTAATCACTGAGTCAGCTTCCCACTCCCAGATTATATCTTTTTTGAGCCCTTTACTTCAAAGTGGAAAAAAGCAAGAGTCTCAGATGGGATTCTTGGGCTTCTGGCTGCTACTGAATGAGTGAACGCACCTTGAAATTTGAACTTGGGTACCTGAACTGCTCAGCACATGTAATGGAATTATACCCTCTCTGAGCTCATCAACAGAGCTTCTGTCACATGGAAGTTGGGGGCTGTAGTGATGCTTTTTGTGAATAGAACATAGAGATGCAGAAGTAAGTATAATCTCTCCTACTCAGGAGATTGCAAAACCAGGAATATAATCTCACCAGCTCTCTCAAGGATCCATATCCCTTATCATTGGTGTGTAACACATAGTGACCCTCTGACAAATATTTGTTAAAGATATTTGCACAGTTGTCCTGTTTCTATACCTCATTCTGGCTCATCTTAAAATGACCTCTTCATTCTCTGTAGGCCATCCTTCTAATTATTTATTAATCATGTATGGTAAACTTTCTATATGCCAGAAACCAGGTGTCACCTGGTAAAATCCTGAACAAGTCCCAACTCATATGTTGCTAGCTCTGGGCTCCTTTTCCTGAATTCTTGAGATAAAGCTATCCTGCATCTAGATCTTCTATCTTCTCCATCACTGTGTTTATCACATTGCACCCTAATTAGTAGAGACTGGTTCTTTCCCTTACTCTAAACTGTCATTTTCTAGAAAATAATGATTGTATCTTGATTCTCACTGTATCCTCACAGCAGTCCCTCAAAGTACTATGTATACATGGAAGATTGTTTACAGAAATCATCGTGACTGCCCACCATCCTGCAGCCATGGCCTTTGTCACATGAGCTTGTAGCTCCTGCCAACAGACTCTCATTTCTTTACAGTCCTTAAAAATCATTTTGGTCAATTGAACGTGACTAGGTTCCAAGAAGAAGCAAGTCTATGCTGGCAAAGTTGATCATGAGAGACCCACGGAGACTCATAATTTGATGATCTTTAACTCCCCAGGTAATAGGTCACAGGTATGAGGGACCCTCTCCTAAGTTTTCAGCTTTTAGCCAGTTCACCAGCTGAACTCCAATGAATGAGTAGGTCATGCTAAGATGTGCTAGATCAGCCAACTGGTCAATTACTCATAAACCCATGAATAAAGAAGTAATTGGAGACACTGAGTTTTGGTGAGATTTGTTATAAGAAATAGCTCATTTAGGTGCTGGGGATGTAGCTAGGTTCCTAGATTGCTTGTTTAGTGTGCATGAAGCCCTGGGTTTGTTCTCCAACACTGAATAAGCCCGCCTGTAATTCTAATATTTAGGGGTATAGGCAGGATAATCAGGAATTCGGTATTACCCTTGACTGTACGGCAAGTTCAAAGATACCTGGGGGAGAAGAAAAGATATAATTGGTTTATAGTGATGTTCTAAAATAAAAAGTTATTTTTTTCTTGTCCTTTCACCTCAACACGTAAAAGGTTGTACATACTGCTAATTAAAAAACAGTATTGTATACTGGAAACTCTGTGAATTACTTATCTTTCTTTGTCTTTCTTAAGATATTTGCAGCCCATTTTGGCACTGGTAAATATTATGAACTGATTGAGTGTTAGAGCTGCAAGTGACCTGGTGTTCATCTTATCAATATCCCAAATTTTCTTGAAAACAGAAATGGAGTCAAGAGAATTAGTATAATTTATGCAAGGTCCCCCAGGCAGGAACAAAGGGTAGACTCAAGCATAGCCTATTTTGCTATGGTACCCAGAGAGGACTGTGGGCCTCTACCAGCTACGGCACATTTCTCACCTCTGACCAAGCTTTGATCACTAAAGTCTTTCATTAATTTTCTTTTTTTAAGGTACAGTTGGCACAAAACGTTCATAAACATAGTGAAACTTAATGAGAAATGCTATAAGCATCCAAGAACAAGGTTATCTAATTGCTTCAATTACTAAGAAATACAGCATGTGTACTTTTCTCCTGCCCCATTTATAATGATTTTGGACCCTCACTGTGGGCAATTCTGTTGCCAAGAGCTCCCCAACAGACCGCTAGATATGTGCATGCTCACACCCCCTCATCTTGAAGCTTATTAGTCTTACACAACACCAACTGGTTGAATGATTATAAAAGTCTTATTTGGAGTGTCTGATCATTCCCAAGACTTATTTGCTAGAAGAATTTCATTTGCAGAATCATGTGATTTGTGGATGACCAAAATCAAACAGCGCAAGGCTCAGGAGCTCTTCAACAAAGCTATTTTTCACAAAGAAAATAAACATCTTTATCTGAAAACTATATACCTGGTCCCACTGCCTTTATGTTTGGCTTAGTAGAAGATGATGTAAATTTTCCTTGCTGAGTAGATTAGAGAAGCATGGACTGGGAGGAAAATGTTGAGAGACATAGAGGAAATGTCCAAATTTTGATATACTGTTTTCCTAGTACCAATCAATAGTTAAGACACTGATATGTGTCCCGGTCCAGATTTATAATCATCAACAGCTATGAAGGAAAAGCATTTGGTATTGATTGTCCTGTAATCAGAAATCAGACTGAACTTTATCTCATGACAAAGAAAAATTAACTATTTTGCTAATTACTATAATTATCTCTCTCACATTTATTTTGACAGACGTGTCAGTGGTGGAAAACAATTTTCTTAAATTGCCTTTTGCCTATTATGAATTCCAAATTCTTACAATTTTGACAAATGATTTTATTCTGTCCTTTGTACTTGCTTTGGGTAATTTTGCAACATGATTCTTCAGAAATGCCTTGGTACCTTGAGAGGGAAAGAGAGAGACTGAGATTGAGATTGTTTGGAAAAGATTGCATAGAAACACCAGGCCTTGGAACTGGCTGCCTGACAATCACAGGTAGTCTTATCTTAGTCTCATTTTTTCTTTCCTTTTTATTCTGAGAGGGCTCCGGAACCCTGGAATACTATCAACAAAACTTAAGAAGTGGTTGGGTGCTAGCTTCATCTTCACATATACCAAAGTTGGACCAACACAGAGATTAGCATGGCCCTTGAGCAAGGACCATGCAAACTCGTGAAGGGTTCCATATTTTTAAGGTATATTACAGACAAAAATAGGACCAAGAATACAAACAAATTAAAATGAAAGTAACTTTTCAACTCCCAGTCAAAAGACAAAGGCTAGTGGAATGGATTAAGAAAAAAAATCCATCTTTTTGTTGTCTTCAAGAAACTCATCTGGATTTCAATGATAAGCACTATCTTAGCGTGAAGAGATGGAAAAAAAATAGTCCAAGCAAATGGCACTAGGAAGCAAGCAAAGGTTGCAATTCTAATATCTGACAAAACAGACTTCAAATAAAAACTAATCAGAGAGATAAAGAGGGTCACTTCATTGTAATCAAAGGAACAACTGACCAAGATGATATTACAATCATGAACATATATGCAGCAAACTCTGGTGCACCCAACTTCGTAAAACAGTGCTATGGGACTATAAAACACAGATTATCCCCAACTCATTAATAGTAGGTGACTTCAGTACTCCACTATCTCCAGTAGACAGGTCAGCTGGACAAAGAATAAACAGATATCCGAATTAAATGACATCTTACATCAAATGGACCTAACAGAAATCTACAGAATATTCCACCCAAGAAACAAAGAATACACTTTATACTCAGCAGCCCATGCAAGAGTCTCTAAAATTGACCACATACTGGCACACAAAACAAACCTCAACAAATACAAAAAAATTGAAATAATTCCACGCATTCTATCAGACCATAATACAATAAAGCTTATAATCATCAGCAAAAGAAGCTCTAGTAGCAACATGAACTCATGGAGATTAAACAACAAACTCCTAAATGATGAATGGGTCAAAGAATAAATTAAGAAAGAAATAAAAGTATTCTTGGAACTAAATAAAAATGATAATGTAACACAACAAAACCTCTGGGACACTTTAAAAGCACTCCTAAAGGGAAGTTTATAGTTCTAAGTGCCTACATTAAAACACCAGAAAGAGTTCAAATAAATAACATTGCAACTCAACAACTCTGGAAAGTTAAGAACAAACCAAACCCAAACCTAGTAGTTGATAAAAAAATGACAAAAATCGGAGCAGAAAATAACAAAATAGAAATAAAACAATATAAAGAATCAATGAATCTAAGAGCTGGTTCTTTAAAAAGCTAAGCAAAATAGACAGACCCTCTAGCCCAGTTAACCAAAAGAAAGAAAGAGCAAATCCAAATTTACAAAATCAGAGATGAAAGGGGAAACATCACAACAGACACCAAAAAAAACAAAAACAAACAAACAAAAAAACCACACACACACCAAAAAACCCAGAACATTATCAGGGAATACTTAAGAAACCTATACTCTATTAAATTTGAAAATCTAAAAGTAATGGTTGAATTTCTAAATTCATGGAAACCACCAAAATTAAACCAAGAAGAGATCAACAGCTTAAACAGACCCATAATAAATAATGAAATTGAAGCAGTAATACAAAACCTCCTGACTAAAAAAAAAGCCCAGGACCAGATGGATTCATAGCAGAACTCTACCAGATATTCAAAGAAGATCACCAATAAATACTTCTTAAATTATTCAAAAAGATAGAAACAGAGAGAGAACTCCCAAACTCCTTCTATGAAGCCAGTATCACTCTAATACCCAAATCAGGTAAAGACAGCACAAAAACTATAGACTCATATCCTTAATGAACATAGATGCAAAGATTCTGAAGAAAATAGTCACAAACCACATCCAGACACATATCAAAAAGATCATCCACTATGATCAAATAATCTTTATTATTTATTTATTTATTCCAGAGATGCAGGGATGGTTCACTATACATAAGTCAATACATGTACTAAATCATATAAATGAACATAGAGACAAAAATCACATGGTTATCTCAATAGATGAAGAAAAGGCCTTTGACAAGATCCAACATGCATTCATGTTACAAGTCTTAGAGGGAATTGGACTGGAGGGACGTTACCTCAACATAATTAAAGCTATGTACAACAAACCTAAAGCCAACATCACTCTAAATTGAGAAAAACTGGAAGCATTCCCATTGAAACCAGGAACCACATGAGGTTATCCACTATCTCTACTACTTTTCAATATAGTGCTTGAAAATCTTGCTAGAGCAATATGACAAGAGAAGGAAATTAAAGGAGTACTAATTGGAAAAGAGGTCAAATAATCACTATTTGCAGACTATATGATAGTATATGTAAGATATCCCAAAAAGTCCACCAGAAAACTTATAGAAATGATCGATACTTTCAGCAAAGTAGCAAGTTACAAAATCAACTTACAAAAATCAGTAGCCTTTCTATATACCAATAACAGGTGCTCAGAGAAAGAGTACATGGAAGGCCTCCCATTTGTAAAACCTCAAAAAATATCTAGGAATAAATCTTACCAAAGACATTAAAGATCTCTATAATGAAAATTTTAAATCTTTAAAGAAAGACATACAGGAAGACACAAGGAGATGGAAGGACCCACCACACTGTTCATGGATTGGTGGAACTGATATTATGAAAATGATGATCCTATCAAAAGCAATCTGAACTTCAATGCAATGTCAATCAAAATACCCATGACATTCTTCACAGTGCTAGAAAAAAAAAATCTTAAAATTCATATGGAATCACAAGAGACCCTGGAGAGCTGAAGCAATCTTGGGCAAAAAAAAAGCAATGCTGGGGATCACCACACCAGATCTTAAACTATATTACAGAGCTGTAGTCATAAAAACAGCATGGTACTGCCAGAAAACAGACACATAGATCATTGGAACACAACAGAAAACCTAAATATGAGTGTATGCAGTTTCAGCCACCTGATATTTGACAGAGGTGCCAAGAAAACAATGGAGAAAAGACAGCATCTTCAACAAATGGTGCTAGCAAAACTGGACCTCCACCTCTTGAAGAATGAAATTGGATCCTTATCTTTCACCCTGCACTAAAGTCAACTCCAAATGGATCAAAGACCTCTGTATGAAACCTGAAAACTGAAACTGCTAGTAGGAAACATAGGCAGTACCCTGCGAGATATAGGTGTGGGAGAGGACTTTCTAAATTGGGCATCAATTGTTCAGGCATTAAGGTCAACAATCAACAAGTGGGACCTCATTAAACTGAAAAGCTTCTGTACAGCAAAAGAAACAATCAAGGAAGTGAAGAGGAAACTCACTGAGTGGGAGAAAAATCTCCACCTGGTACACACCTGACAGAGGGTTAACATCCAGACTATACAAAGAATTCAAAAAACAAAGAAACAAGAAAATAAATGACTCAATAAAAAGATGAGCTCAGGACCTGAACAGAGAGTTCTCAAACACACAAATAAAAATGGCTAAGGAACACCTTAAGAAGGGTTCAACATCCCATTTACAGAAATACAGACCAAAACCAGTCAGACTGGCTAAGATCAAGAGAACAAAAGACATCAAAGTGGAGGAAGGGCAACGCTCTTTCACTGCTGGTGGGAATGCAAACTAATGCAACTTCTATAGAAAGCACTGTGGAGAACTCTTTAAAAACTAAAACTGAACCTACTATATGATCCAGTTACACCACTCCTTGGCAAAAACCCAAAGGACTCATCCTACTGTAGAGATAACTGTACATCCATGTTTGTTGCTGTTCTTTTCACAATAGCTAAAAGATGGAAGCAACCTAAGTGTCCCTCAACTAATGAATGGATAAGGAAAATGTGGTTCATTCACACAACAGCATTCTACTCAACAGTAAGGAAAAATGAAATTATGAAATTTTCAGGTAAATTGATGGAGCTAGAAACTGTTATGCTAAGTGAAGCAACACAGACTCAGAAAAGCAAGCGATGTATGTTCTCCCTCATGTATGAATCTTAGTACCAATTCCTTATATGTTGAGCACACATCCTGATGTCACAACAGGAACCAGGGAAATGGAAAGGAAGCACAGAGGTAAAGGGAAAGAAAAAGCCCCCAAAAGGGGGATAGTAGGAAAAAGATGTCACCAAAGGTATTCAACTGGGAAGGGAGAAGGGAAGGACATACAAGGAATCATGGGATAAAGGGGAAGAAAAACTCAAGAGATGGGTGTAATAAGAAACAAGTATTATCAAGGGGGAAATTGAGGGCGCTTAAACTAGGGAGGGAGGAGGAAGGTTAGATAGGGAGAGAGAGAGGAGAGATAAACAAAGCTTAGGTGAAATAAAAAACCAGAGGGAAATGTACTGATTTCAACACTCACCTTGAAAAATATACATACAATGTCTAAACATGAGTGTATGTGTATATCTGAAGGCTCTACAACAAGGAACATAGTGCCAGACAGGAGAAACCTCCCATCAAGTTATTGTTCAGGGTAGTCCAAATCACAGGGTCTATTGCCACAGTCTCTGATTACCTCTCAGAACTTGAACATAAGACCTTATTGCTAAAGACAGGACATACTTCGTACACAGGACTTGGAGCAAGGGAGCTGGAACTAACCTGGAATTTCCTCTCTGAACACTAGCTCTCATAGTTCTAGAAGATACTAAGCAAGCCGCTAAGGGAGAAAAATCAATCAATGGCGCCAAAGCCTGATAACCATAATGCTGGCAGAGCAAACTATCTCTATTGGTGCAGTGGTGGCACTTTTTATCTAGGGGGTAATCAACAGCTATCTAATTGGACTTAAAGCTCTCTCAATAGGTGGAACTCATGGGTGGCACTGTAAATATAGCCAAATACACATGGCTGGAGAGGTCATAGATCCTAGAGCAAACTCTATCTTAGTCATGTCCCTGACAAATGAAATTTCTTACTCTATGCTAAATATGGATCCTTATATTTATAGGCAATTATATCATATACTACTCATCAAAGAAGTTTCCTTCTGTAACACATGGAAGCTATTACTGAGTTCTACAACTGACCACACATGAACAATATGTGTCTGAGAGATACCCAGTCCTAAGCGACACATCTATAGTAGAACCTTTGCAGCTAAGGCTCTAGAACATAGCAGAACAGGCGGTAGAGAGAACACTAATACATCTATCAGCTCTCACCAGCAAAGATT